GCAGACGCTCCTATCGTTCAAGACTCCCACTACGAGACACGATACAACATACGCCCTAACTGGAGAAACTCCTCTGACAAATACCAGCACCTTCGTGACCTTCTCCTTTCCAGGAAACGTTCAGTTCCAGATAAATTCATTGAATCAACCTCCAACTGCAGACCGGAGGGAATAATGTTACTGGATGTGCTGACTACTAGTGCAGACGCGTGCAAGTGAGGAGTGTCCCTGCAGTGCCAAGTGTGACCTGGTTTTTGTTCGGCACGCTAGCGAGTAACAGAGTTTTAATAATTCGCGGGATTCGCGTTGGCATCGCTTGAATGTTCAGAAACACACAAACTAGCCTTCGCTTCCGCAGGCCACCACTATGCCTATGCCTTGCACACCTGAGTGGCGAGTTAGCTACCGGTATATGATTGTTGATTACGGGATGTGAAGACGTCAATCATCAGGATCCTAGCCAATGCTATGTGCCAAACAGGACAGTGATGTCAATGACAGGTGACAAATGTCGCGTGCTGTGTGCTAAAAAGCAGGGGACTTTTTTTTCTTTTATCACCCGTGTACTAGTTGTCAGTCATAGCACAGTACTCCGTAGTGTTCGACGCTTCGTTCCTTCTTTGTTGTAGTGATCTTCTGGAGCGCCTCGTTTATTCTATTTCTTGTTGGTAATGGGAGTACCGTAGAATGTCTTTTTTCTCTTATCACCCGTGTACCTGTTGTCCGTGGCGACACAATACTCCCTAGAGCCGTCGACGCCTTACTTAATTCGCTGGGTAAGCTGTGGGAATCTTAAAAAAAAAGCGTGTCTAGCGTGAAGAATACCACTGGGTTTGCACCTACTGTGTATGAAAATATCAAAATGCGACGATGGATCAGAAGCAAGGGGTAAATAAAGCATTATTTTAGAGAGAACATACAGTCATGTACATGACGCGTTGTGCATGTGCATTGTGTATGTACATGCACAATGCACATGTCTACGGCCGTACGGTACGGGTGATGTTCTGTGAAAACACACCTACAATGATTATACTTGCCAGTACAGTAGTAAAGTCAAAGGCACGCCCTAGGCACGTGCGACTTGCTGAGTCTACACAGTCATGTATTATTACATGGCATGGAGTTTGACAGATTGGCAAGGCATGACGATTGTGCTGCCATAGTCCTACAGTCTACATTGTACATGTACATGACAATGTACATGTAGGTGCTCTCAATGTGTACACTGCGTCACGACGCCCATTGAGGAACGTGGCAACCTTGCAGCGGGCTTTAGCGCCTGCTCGCTCCAACTGCTCCTCAAAGTTGAGGATCTCTCCACTATGATTAAATTCAGTGATTTATTTATGTATTTATGCACCTCGTAGCGTGCCAAGATGGCCAATTGAATTGAGGAGAGGGTGAGACCAACCACGGAAAAAGAGGAAAAACAACAAAAAACGCGCACACAAAAGGGGGAGGAAGGGATTAGCAACATACAAAGCGATGGTCAGACCGAGGTAGAGAAGGGATGGTTTTGTATCACCATGGCCACATCTTCATGTTCCTGCTTTGTGTTGTCGGTCACACAGGGTGACCTGGACATGCTCATGGAATTGTTGGATTCGCTCTCAGCAGAGGAGTCACCTACGCGAGTGTCGTTGTTATGGAGACCGAGACTTTGGTAAGGATGAGGGTGTGATTGCGTACTTGCAGACAGTTGTGTGTAATCAGGAGTATTTTTTTATTTTTTATTTTTTATTTATTGGGAACACAGCCCTACAAAGAGACATGTGGAGACAAACACAAGACAGGACACAGGGGATGTAGGGACGACGTGCCCATGTACAGGGAGCAACTCGACCGACCAGGGGTCTCGGCGTTAGCGTTGCAACCTGGCATCGAAAAAAAGGGGGGGTTGCATGGTCAGGTAGCAAAAATAATAATTTGGTGCGAGAAAGGGGCGCTAGTATTGCACCAAATAATATAAATACGTGTTATGACTAAACCAGAAGGGAAAATGAAGAGAGAGAACAATAATCATAACAAGCAAGTAGTAGAGAGGTAAATACTAAATGGGTCTCAAATCTCAATATCATCGTCACAGGTACTGTGTGGACCACAGCCATCTCTTTCGGATTAGATCCTTACATACGTTGACCTTGAAGGTTTGGAGGCGTCTTGAATTAGGCTCGTGAAGCAGGAGGTCCGCAGGCAGGTTGTTCCAGGGTGTGATGGCGAAGAAGGGGAAGGATCGCAGGAGGTAGTCAGGGGCTGTGCGAGGGGGTGTCCACTTCAGCTGAAAGGCATGGTGCGTCTGACGTTTTTGCCGTGTGCACATGCTAGCTACGGCAGGGGGCTTGGTTGGTGGCAGCATGGCCTTTACCTGGGGAGGCCCTGGAATGTAGTGCAGCTTGAACAAGTATGACAGGGCTGCCACCATCCGACGAAGCTGAAGACTTTGGAGGATGGTTCCAGGTCCCAGGAAATGCAGGGCACGTTGCTGAACCTTGTCCAGCTGGGCCATGTTAGTTGCGGCTGCGCTCGACCAGGCCAGTGGGGCATATTCAAGTAGGGGTCGCACGAATCCCTTGTAGACCGTCACTCGACCATGGTCGTCCAGGATGGGTGCTGCCTTTCGTAGGAAACCCAGCCTTTGGGAGGCGCGCAGTGCAACACTGCGAGTGTGCGCTCTGTAGGAGAGAGTAGGGTCGAGCATGACTCCCAGCAGCTTCAGGGTATCTGTCTCCTGGAGTGCTTCACCTCCAAAGGTGACTGGTGGAGTGCAGGGGGGAACGTGCTTGCGATGTAGAGTCATGCGCTGTGTCTTGGCTGGCTCAAAACAGATACGCCACTTGCGGCCCCACTCCTCAAGACTGTTGAGGGACCCTTGGAGGGAGGCGGTGGACTGTTGGAGATCGTCAGTTGGCTGTACTAAGCTGTAGAGTGTAGTGTCGTCTGCAAAGCTGCTCAGCTGCGTCCCTGGAGTTAAACATTGTTCAATGTCACAGGTGTATAGAAGGAAGAGGCTGGGTCCTAGGATGCTGCCTTGGGGGACACCAGCCTGGATGGGTTGAGCATCTGACGTCTGGCCTCCAACCACAACGCGGATGTTTCGGTTGGTGAGGTAGTCCTGTAGCCATACAAGCAGGCGTCCGTCGACGCCGGCCTGCTTTGCTTTGTACAGCACTCCTGTGTGCGATACCCGGTCAAATGCACCGGCAATATCCACGGCGAGGACCTGGACACAACCGCCAGTACTTATGGTGTGGACCCATTCATGTTGGAGAGCCGTTAAGAGTTCTGCGGTTCCTCTACCACGTCGGAATCCAAACTGGCTGTTTGGCAACACCTCATGCTTCTCTAGGTAGTTAACCAGTTGCGTGTTTACAATGCCCTCCATGACTTTCGACATGATCGTTAGCAGTGATATTGGTCGGTAGTTCGATGCCAAAGATCTGGAGGACCGTTTGTGGACTGGGACTACATGGGCAAGTTTCCATGCCCTAGGTTGCACACCGGCTAAGAAGCAGAGGGCGAAGAGCTTTGCCAGTGGGTCTGCAAGTTCAGATGAGCACATCTTGAGCACACGAGCAGAGATGCCATCCGGTCCAGTTGCTTTTGATACAGCCAAGTTCGCCAAGTGCCGTTTGACCGTTGCTGCGCGGAAGTGAATGTGCTTTAGCGTGGCATAGGCAGGTCGTTGCAGGTCAGGCAGGTCAGCAGCACAGAGGTCGTTATTGCCAAGGCTACACTTGTTCGCAAAATGCGCTGCAAAGCACTCGGCTTTCTCACGAGAAGAGTGGAACTCTTGTCCTGCAGGGTTGGTCAGCAGGGGGATGTCAGAGCAACGTCCCTTGCCTGCTGCGCTCTTGATGGTTGACCACCACTCTTTGTCCCGGAGGAAACCTGCAGTAAGCTTGTTGCGAATTCTACGTTGATGTGCTAATCGCGCTGCATGACACGCTTCCACTTCGTGGTTAACAGCTGTGATGTACTGGACCTTGTGGTTATCGTTGCGGGGATTGCGTCGCCACAGCTTCCATGCCCGCTCCTTGGCATGATTGGCGTTAGAACAGTCCGGTGTCCACCATACAGGGTTGGATTGGTGCACCACAAGCTCTTTGGATGGTATGAACTGTTTCATTCCATGCATGATGACATCAGTTACGCGCTGACAGGACTGCTCCGCACACCCATGGATCTTGGCGGGCCAGTCTATGTTGCGGAGGTAGGCTCTCAGGCGGTGCCAGTCAGCAAGGGCGTATTTCCAAACCTGTCGAACAGCAGGATCTTCGCGTCGTGGATGCTGTTGGAGAAACTCGGCAATGATAACGGCATGATCAGATCGTCCAAGTGGTCCATAGGCTGTGGTGCGTACGGGGTGTGGGAAATCGGAGATGATAAGATCGAGAGTATTGTTGCCGCGGGTTGGCTGGGTGACATGCTGGACAAGATGATGTGCTGCGCAGACTTCCTCCAGGCATTCACCGGCTCGGGTAGTCTTGCTACTCTGTAGCCAGGCTGAATTATGCACGTTGAAGTCCCCTGCAATTATAACATTGCTGCCAAGACGGCGGACATCATCCAAAGTGTTGTCTAGGTAGTCCATCAGGCTGGTGTCTGTCTCTGCACAAGAGCCAGGCCGGTAGAGCGCACCCAGAACAGTCTTTGTTCCGGAGTGCATTGCCAGGGAAATCCATAAGAGCTCGTGATCACGGCAATCTATATCCCCGCGTGCTAGTTTGTACGTGAAGTGTGTGGGTTACAGTGAGGGTTGCGTCCCACCCACCTGTGTGGATTCACAGGAAGCGTGAGTTACGAAGTCTGAAGAAAATGCTGAAGGGCCTCTGCTGGGATGACGACTACACCATACCTCAGTGGTTAGAGCATCGCTGGCTACAAACAAAGGTCCCTGGTTCGAGTCCTCGTGGTGACAGTCAGTTTTTTCTTCAGACTTTTCCCGTTTGTCTCTTTCCCTCAAACCAGTTAATATTATTATTATTATTATTGAAAACAAAATTGAACTATTATCGAAGATCTAAGTTAGAGAAATAACGCTAGGAACAACAGCAGTGAAATTTACAAGTGTGAATTTTAACAATGAAAGCGAGAGCAATAACGAATGCGTGTACTATCAATAAACTTGCAACTGAAAAATGAACAAAGATTATTATTATCTATTCATATTTAATAGGGCAATCCCCACAGACTCAAGGTCTCCTTACAGATCAGCAAATATGGAATCGTAGGTGTGTTCACAATTTGACGGCGCCTGACAGCTCCGTGGAGACGTTCTCGTAGACCTGATGCCGAGTATTGTCATGAGTAAAGGAGGATGATACGGGCGTGTTCCCAGCATTGTTTGCTCCATTCTCAGTGGGAGATGTACCACCAGGGAGAGCGTTGCTATGGGGACCCAGGCTTTCATAGCGGTTGGCACGTGATTGTGTACCTGTAGATGGTAGGGTGTAGTGACATCCCTGCGCTCTGGCATTGGCATCTGCAGGTGCGTCCGGCTCGGAGTATAGCGGGGCGAGGTGATGTTCACTGTTCAATGAAGCCGTTGGAACGTCCGCATCGTCAGGGCGCTGGTTCTCACCGTCAGCAATGGCCGAAGACCTGGAAATCCGCATGGAATTACTTGCTTTCACTGGTTCCAACGCAATATCATAGTATACAGTCTCGGACCGATTTTGTGCTGCTCCACTACTTGTCTGAGGTTGGGCTGCATAGCTACCTGAGGGACGCGGGAGCATCAGCCCGTTTTCGGACTCTAGATGTCGCAGCCGTGACTGATCAGCTTCTGCCAGGGAGTTGCGCTTCTTCCTTCGGTATAGTAGTACTAGTAGCAAGCACAGTGCGAGGATTATCAAGGGCACACCAATGGACAAGATGACGCTAGTTGATGGCCCTGAGACATAAATGATGGCCACATCTGCACTTGTTGTAGTAATTTGTGATACTGGAGCGGATGAATCAGGCTTGGATGTTCCTGTCAATGGGCTGGGATGTGGGGAGGATGTCTCACCGGGCGAGTTATATTTTTGTGTGTAAGATGTAGCCACGTCGACACTCGTTGCTGTAACTGCTACAGAGGTGTTCTGTTGAGGAGAGGCTGTCGGCTGTGTTGTACTGTTTGCCGGCTGCGTAACATCCGCCGCTGTAGTTTGCGTTGAGACTTCACTGGATGAGTTATATTTAAGTGTGTAAGATGTAGCCACATCGACACGCGTTGCTGTAACTGCTACAGAGGTGTTCTGTTGAGGAGAGGTTGTCGGCTGCATTGTACGGTTTGTAGGCTGCAGGACAGTTGATGTTGGGCAGGTGTAGTTAGATGCACTACTGCAGTAGTATTGATGCTGACTTGTTCCACTTGCCCCTGCTAATGCAGGACAGCTTCGATAGAGGGTCTGGCAGGTATCACATGCAGCATGATGGCACGCATCCAATGCTGCAGAAAGAATGAAAAAGATCAGCAAGCAACTTTTTAATAATTGTAAAAAGGAGAGTATTGAATTCTGTTTCCTTCCGTTTCGGGTGCGTTTTCGTGCCTTGTAGTACAGTATAATTACTGTATAAACGATGATACATGTAGTAAACACAACGATTTCGTTCCTTTTTTGGTGGCACTTCGTTGTCGTGTTAACGCAGACTAAAACTATTTATCCCTATGATACTTGTACTTGTATAAGGAGTGTCTTTTAAAATAGCGGTTACAGAAATATCGGTTAATGGTGTGCTCATACGCATTGCCCGCTACTTTTTAGTTTTTTTTCTGTAGGCCTCTTTTACGGGCAAATTAACACAATGGTTTAAAAATGGAATAAAACATACACTGGAGAAGAAATAAGAAAAATGCATGTGTAAAATAAAGAATTTCAAACCCGAACCAAAAAACTTTAAATCAATTTTTTATAATTATTTAAAAAATAAACTCGATCAATAAACTCAATAAACCCAATTCAAAAGGAGGAAAACAATAACAAAACAAAAACAGAAAGTGTTTGCTCCCCACACTGGAGCTCGCGCTATTCCGCCGACTTTACTTGACACATGACTGACTCACGGCTGCTATCCAGAGCACACGAGAAGTCCATCGAACCTTCGACTCGGCAAACCTGGAAGAAAGCACCACTCCCTGCTCAATACACAGTGTTTCGGGGAATTCACCCCTCATCAGTTGAGCTTGAGTAGGCTGAGGAAGATTGTGCCTGAAGAGCACCACTTATATAGTGCTCTCCAGGCACAAACATCACCAGGGATACAAACTTACAGAGACGCTCCGTTTCCAGCGCGACAAACACCTCGTGAACACCAGATAGCAGCGTGAGTCAGTGTCGCTCCTGGACGGTGAGAACAGACGTCGAGGACCTTCGCAACGCTGTCACCTCCAAACCAACTAGTGGCAAGCCCGCGCTGGGCACAACAGTACGAAATAGTATTTTTTTTACTATTAAATTTTCGTACTGTTGTGCCCAGCGCGGGCTTGCGACTAGTTGGTTTGGAGGTGACAGCGTTGCGAATGACCGAGGGTCCTCGACGTCTGTTCTCACCGTCCAGGAGCGACACTGGCTCACGCTGCTATCTGGTGTTCACGAGGTGTTTGTCGCGCTGGAAACGGAGCGTCTCTGTAAGTTTGTATCCCTGGTGATGTTTGTGCCTGGAGAGCACTATATAAGTGGTGCTCTTCAGGCACAATCTTCCTCAGCCTACTCAAGCTCAACTGATGAGGGGTGAATTCCCCGAAACATTGTGTATTGAGCAGGGAGTGGTGCTTTCTTCCAGGTTTGCCGAGTCGAAGGTTCGATGGACTTCTCGTGTGCTCTGGATGGCAGTCGTGAGTCAGTCATGTGTCAAGTAAAGTCGGCGGAATAGCGCAAGCTCCAGTGTGGGGAGCAAACCCTTTCTTACAAATCATCGCCGAAGTCGCAACCACTATTTAAAACAAATACAAAAAAAACACTGTACTAATTAATAAGAACACCGATAACTTCATCAAGAAAATCAAAAACAAAAAACAAACAAAAAACTTGATAAACAAATAAACACAGTATAGAAGATCAGAAAAATTACGTAACAAGGCGAGACTCAGCCACCACGACGGAACTATCCACAAAACGTTAGACGGGGAAACCCCAGCACCACGGATACAAAGAATACTGGATCTCAGTAAGGAGAAAGAGAGACAGACACGCAGCAGACTCATGACAACAGAGTATTCGCTACCAGAAGACTCACATTGTAAGCGACAAAGACGTTTCAAAATCACAGTGCACAACGGACTACAACCACCATGAGTACCGAACACTAGAGGGGGGAAAGAACCACACTCTACATTGACAACTCTCTCCTCATACTCACGGCGCTTAGAATCCTCATGTTGCTTGTAGAGAGCGCTGAGAGATTTGGAGCGATAGGAAGGGACATCTGGGCAAAAACCCTTACATCAAAAAAGCCTTCTCCCCAAGGCTCCAAAACCCCCGAGCGCTCACATCGAGTCTGGCCTCCTCACTAACGTTCGCTGTTCGAAAACCTGCATATGTGGGATGTATTTGCCCTTTGCGAGACGTGGTTGAACAGCACCATATCTGATAATTAGATCCACATTCCTGGTTACTGTGTTGTCCGCAGCGACCGCTATGGCCGCCAGGGGGGAGGAGTATGTATGTTCTGCAAATCAACGCTCCCCGTGTCTCACCGTCCTGATCTCCATGTAGACGGCCTTGAAGGCACCTGGATTTCGTTAACCAGACGTGGTCACCAGCATCTCATAGGCGGCATGGACCGCCCGCCCGACTCAACAGTCACCTATTGGGAAAGACTTGATGGAGAGCTTCATAAAGCAGCATTGTTGACACCATCTATGACTGTACTTGGAGACTTCAATGTCGATGTCGGAGCCGGCACAACATCCCCGCACTATCAGCGCTTCTCAGATTTGGTAGCATCTTATGGCCTCAGAAACCTGGTCACAACTGCCACTAGGACCACACCCCAGTGCCCCAATGGCAAGATCATCGACTTGATCCTCACAAGTTGCGATGATGCCCGGAGTTGCGCCGTAGTGCCGTCTGCCCTCAGCGACCATGATGCCGTTCAGGTCCTCTTGGGCCTGCACGTTCAAGTGCCCAGACAAGCATGTGACTCCAGGAAGCCATTCCGCAACGTACGTAGAATCCACATACCTGATTTCTGAGACGACCTTGATGCAGCACACCTTGATACCTGGCCCCCGAACACTACAGTTGACGACATGTGGTCAATTTGCACTACAGACTCTTGGCGATCCTCGACAAGCATGCTCCTCTCCAGTGTTCTACTGCCAAGCGGAAGCAGCTACAATCCTGGTCGGATCGGCACATCTTCCAGCTCACCCAGCGCAAGAATCGGCTGCATAGGCGGTGGCGGGGAGACAAAGCAAACGCTGCGCTCCACACTGCATTCAAGCGCGCCCGTGCGGAAGCTAGAAATGCATACCGACAGAAGCGAAACACTTACTTCCAGGGACAATGTACAGCAAACGCAGGAAACACCAAGAAGCTTTGGCGTACCATTAACAAAGTCACCTGTAGAGACCGTCCCCATGTAGAACCCTCTTGTACGATCGAAGATGTCGCCTCAGCCTTCCACAAGGTGGTTACTGATGATTGTCGACCGCAAACTTTGTCTGCTCCCGTCGGGTCTCCACCCTGCACTTCCCTCCCCAAGTTCTCACATGTCAGTATCGGTGCTGTTGAAAGGCTACTCCAGCAAGTTAATCCCGCGAAGGCAACAGGCAGCGATGGCGTACCAGGGGCAGTCCTCAAACTCTGCTCTGACGTCTTGGCGCCATCTGTTACTAGCCTGTTCAATGCCTCGCTGTCGTGCGGACATGTGCCCTCGGCGTTCAAGCTAGCTAATGTCATCCCACTGCATAATTCTGGTGATCCATCGCTGCCAACTAACTTCCGCCCTGTATCCCTTCTACCCATACTCTCCAAGCTGCTAGAGAAGTTGGTTCAGAAGGAGCTCATCACCTTCCTGGACATAACAGCATCGTTACCAACAACCCAGTTTACGTTCAGGCGTGGCCACTCTACCGAAGACACATTAGTCCTTATGTCAAACCGCATCCTAACAGCCAAGGACCAGAGCCTATTCACAGGTGTATGCCTGTTAGATATGTCCAAAGCCTTCGATAAAGTCCAACATGTCAAGCTATTGCAGGATCTCCACAGTGTTGGGGTGTTCGGTACTGCCTTGGACTGGTTCGCCAGCTACCTATCCGGTCGCACTCAACGTGTCTGTCTGGGGTCACGGACTAGCTCTATATCAGCTTGCACGAGTGGTGTCCCCCAAGGTTCGGTGCTGGGGCCCCATTCTGTTCAGCCTCTACACCCGCGAGGTCCCCGCTGTAGTTGGCCAGTCCGAGTCAGTTCAATTAACGGACGACATTGTTCTCGCGTGCAGCTGGCGAACAGCACAGGAGGTATCCGATGTCTTATCTGCTTCGGTTTCAATCCTTGCAGACTGGCTGAAGGATCGAGGCCTGATCCTGAGTGCTGGCGAGAGCCAAGTCGTGCCAATTCCTGCCGGCCGTCAGCACCCAGCTGATCTACAGGTCGTCTGCCATGCCACTTCACTGCCTAGTGTGCCAAGTGCTCGTTATCTTGGCACCACAATCGATTCCAGCATGTCCTGGCACGCCCACATTGCCAAATGTTCTGCACGCGTATCGCAGAAGATCGGAGCACTCTGGCGAATGCGCCGCTGCCTGAATCACCAGTCACGCATGACCTACTTTAGATCGCTGATCATGTCTGACCTGCTGTATGCCTCAAACGCATACTCCAGCTCACTGCAAAGAAGGTACCTCGACCGTCTACAGGTCCTGCAGAACAGCGGGGCTCGTGCTGTCTTTGGCCACCCTCCGTGGTCGTCTGCCCGCGACCTGCTGGAGCGCATTGCAGTGTTCTGTGTGGCAGAAGTCTTCAATCAGAAGCTAGCATAGCTGGTGTGGCGCTGTCGTTATGCACTGGCAAGTCCAGAGTTGCAAACCCTGCTAACCCCCGGCCCTACTCGGCTCCAATCTGCCATGGGCCTGTGCGTGCCAGTTTCCCATTCGGTTGCAGGGCGGGGGCGCTTTGCTTGCAAGGGTGCTGTATTATGGAATGCCCTCCCCAGCAACATCCGTGCCATCCATCGCGCTCGGCAGTTTTGCACGCAGGTAATCCCCTATACCTGTGCCCTGTAGATGCTGAAGACAAGCGAAATCTTCTGTTTTTTCTGTTCTCTTGCTGTTGTACCCGATCTCCCTCTGATGTACCGCTGAATCCACGTTGAAGATCTAAGTATTTGAATTCTCCTTCTCATTATAATTTTCATATTCGCTTTCATGTTATTGGGTTCTATGCCCGTTTGAATTTGAGAATCAAAATAAATACAAACAAACAAAACAACAAACAAAACGAAAACGCTTGCCAGCTAGAGGTTCAAGAGTTGGTTCCGTACCAACCGCGGAACAAACCATTGTGAGCTCTTCAGCCAGGAGATCACGAACTTCAGTATGCCGTAAGGTAAGAAACCCCCCACGACTACAACAAAGTTGGTGCTCGACCGAAAACTCATGTCCACATACACAGGACCCAGGCGTACACTGCAAAGGTCAGCCATATCTCAAAGCGACAGCATCCTGGAAGTCTCTTCGTGACAAACTAAAACCATGCCTCTTGATAGGTAATACAGCCAGCCAGGACGAGGCACCCTTCTCTGATAGTTCGAGAATACGCCTCCTGTCCCGATCACACAACATTTCAGCAGCCGCGCTCGCCGCAGCCACAGCTTCCTTCCTTTGCTGCGCATGGGTCTGGGCCTTACGCTCCCGCACGGCGTCCACTATCACTGCCACAGGAGTAGAGGCAACGTGTCACTCCCGGACACTACACTCCTGTGACTTGGAGAGGCGACAGATCGAGAGGGCACATGCAATGTCCCAACGTAGCCACCTAAAATACCCAGCACCAGAGGCTCCGAAATGTGGCGAGACTGACGCCGTTGGTGCGCAGACATAGCAACCAAATCCGGGATAGCCATCCCACCATGCTGAATAGAGAGTCTCAACACCCTCCGATCACCGCCAGACAATGCGGGTTGCCCCACAACAACTGGCAAAAGAACCTGAGAGAGGCAAGTCTCAACAGGAGCAAGTACCGTCTCACCCAAATCCATCGCCCGAAACAAGTATGTCCATCTGTGCCTTACACCATGTGTCATCGCAGCATAAGCTGCATGAGGCTCAACAGCCGCAAATTCTTTTAAAACATTCATCTCTTGTATCCACTCACCCGCACGCTGGATTGCAAAATCACGACAGAAAGCGGAAGTGCCCAGCCGAGCACCAAGGTAACGAACACCATCCGTCTTCACAACAATAGCCGTGTCTCCAAAGTGCTCGTTGGCAGCCACCTCAAGCCCAGGCACCTCTAGCCCAGCCACCTCTAGCCCAGGCTTCACAAGCAACTGAGTTTTACTTTCATTAATATTGTATCCATAATCTTCAGCATGAGTTTTCAAATTATCATACCACACGCGGAGCGGACCAAACTTCCCCGCTGCGGCAGAATCGTCCGCATGCCATCCTTGGCAGACTCTATCTGCAGAAGCACGCAACGATTTGACCAAAGGTGTCAATGCAACAGCGTATATTGCCATTGATAAAGGATCACCCTGTGTGGTTCCCTCACGAGACAAGATGCTTCCACCTCCAGATACATGCAGCGTTGCTGGAGACTGGTAAGTATTTGTAGTTATTTGAGATAGTGGAGGGCACACCCTAGCAATGTTGTGAAGGGCGGCGCATCGATTGAGGCTATTGAATGCATTCTGGGCATCCACCAACAACAAAGCCTCCGTTTCGCCATGCCGAAAAGCAATTTCCATTGCCTGGTGCATCGACTCAAGACCTGTTGGGATCCCGGTACAGGCCTGTTCAACGCCACACGACTCCATAATATCGGACCTCATTCCAGACAAGGCTGCCTTTGAATAAATTCGGCGAAATACCTCGCCCACCCCGATAGGTCTAACTCCAGGATTTTTGTTAAGCGCAATGAGACGGCAAGCAACATAGGGTGCCAAATATCCTTCCAGCAATAGGACTGTGCATATCATATGCGTAAAAATGGCTATGGCATCACATAAGTCGGTCGATGCACCCTTATAGAACGTCCACATTCTGCGCCAAGCGCCAGAGTCCAAACCAGACGGGCCCGCCGATCCACGGACCGCCAAGGCTGTTTTCTTTATCAAGTCAATATTAATACCGGCATAGTAAATTAATTTCATTCACATGGCCCGGTGGTCCGGGAAGCAACACATCCGGATTAGGCACAGCAGGCGCAGGGTGTTTCTGACGCAGGATATCGCCAACCACGCAATCAGTGCCACCCACGGGCACCACATCATCCATAGCAAGAACCGGCGTAACTGACTGCTCCTTCCCGCAAGAGCTGAGCATACGCGCGGCCGTCGTAACTCTGCCCTGGGCCATAAGTTTACCAAACCGGCGTGGTTGATCATCATCAAAACGACCCCCATGACCAGTCCTACCCATTAAGCCCCGCTGTGTCGTGTCGCCCTCATCGAGGAGCTCGGTAAGATTTCCATCCTTCCATAACCCAAGACGGCGCTCCAAGTGTTTGCCACAATCCTTAGCTGCCATGGCACGCCCTACGCGTTGGAGTGATAAAGAGGGTAACATGAAGAACCTATACAAGGAATCAACATCCACTCCCTGAGATATATTGAATTCTCGTAGTTCCGTAGTGAGCACTCGAACAAAAGCCTTGCCGGAGGCCCCATTAGGCAGATCAAAAGGGTTTTGTTGCCAACTAATAACCTTGTTATAGGCACGGATGACAGTATCGGATGGTATGACTGGAGGGTGTTGCTCCGCCAGGGGCATTGAGACAGGTGCATTACCCGACCCCTTGGCAGGGCCTTCTTTATGCGGTAAGTCAACACGCAGAGGCTGCCAGAAACATTCAACATCTGGCAAAGCACATCCACTGTCATTTTTGTGTGGTTCGGAAGAATCAGTCAACAACCTGGGGGGAACCAATACAGAGGCGCGGACGACATTATTGGGTGATACACCTGGAGGATGTTCCTCAACAGGGGACGTCGAGACAGGTGCATTGGCCGACCCCTGAGCAGGGTCTTCACGATGCGGTAAGTCAACACGCAGAGGCTGGCAGGGACATTCAATGCTAGTCAAGGCGCAGGCACTGCCAAGTAGCTCATGTGGCGTGCAAGAATCAGTCCACAACCTAGGGGAAACTGATACAGAACCCGTCCGTGAACATGGTGCTTCACCATCTGGGCGTGCACCTCTCACACTGGGGATAGGTACGGCGATGGGGGAAGAAGCCATCGCCGAGTGTCCACCGAGCGGCTGCGGAGCGGAAGACCCAGACAACGCGGTGACGGAAGCCCCAACACGGCCATCAGCCCGTGTAACATTTGAGATCCCATCACCGGCACCAGGCTCAACCGGCGGCAGGCAGCCACGAATAGATGCCGTACAAGAGTTAGTGTTACCATTTGTATCGACACTACATATAGCGGTACTAGTGGTTTGCCCGACCCTCGGGTCCGGCACATTAGTTTGAAACCTTGCTTTTATGGATCCGGGAATGCGGTTGGCACAGTGCCTTTCCCGAATGGGGTAACAGTCAAAGCACGGATGTGCGGCTTGAGGCACACACGCAGTGAACGCATGTGCCCCCTTTCGCACAGCCACAACAAACCATTGTGGATTACCAAATGCAGCTACCAACAGCGATGCGCACAGCCCCAACAAAGGAGAAGTAACGATCCTGCCAAACGCACTGCAGAGCCATTGGAATGGCCAAAACAGCTGATAGAAAAGAACTTTTTCACGGTCAAACTCTACGTGTGTTCGCAAGCCTAGTTGAAGCCGGAAGCCAATTAGATCGAGAAAGGAGTAGTGTGACGAAGGCACCAATCTCGTGGCAGTTTGCCGAACTAAAGATAAAGTTGATTTGAAGTGATAGTGGTGAAGAATTTGCAAGGAATGATGAATAGTAATAATGCTGGTATCAGTGTTACGGAGCGAGCGGCAATGAAACCGTACACGCTGTCGGCCGCCGTTGCAGCCGACCACGCCGCACTGCCACTTGCACATGCAAGGCCAAGGAGCGACCACGCACGCGAACAAATGCAATGATAATGTTGAGCAGGGGCGAAAGAACGAAGCAGAGCGTAGTGGTATTTTTCTGTGTATTTTGATAAGGCAAGCGGCAGCCGACCGACGCTGCCTATTGACTCAATGGAAAGGGATAAACTATAATAACGATATTGATTTGTCACCAGGCTTGTTGGATATGGCCAAAAAAATTTGTATCCAAGCTAACGAGAAGTCAAATTAAGCCCAAATGGAAGGGATCAACAAGAAAAATGACTACAGCTCGAAAGCGCAAGGAGACCTACAAAAGTCTTTCTCGAACACCTAGCCGATTATTGTTATACAAAATCTCTCGAATTACGAGAAACGGAAACAACGCCACTTTTAAGCTTTAGTTAGAGCACTCTGGCGCTAGAGCGACGAGCTATCGTAATGTCTGTGGTGCCTCCTTTGCACCATGGCTGGTAGCTCGGCTTGCTTAATTAAAGCTCGTAGCTGTACTGATGAGGCTTTTTATGGCCAAAAACAGCTTGCTATCTACAGCAATGAGTATAATTATAATACCTGCATGAATGATTGGCACTTACCACGGATGGTCAATGTGACACGAGGTTCTAGGGCCGCACCAAAGGAAAACTTCTGTAACACACGGGGTGCTGTGCCTTGCAGCAAGACGAAAGCGAATTCCGATGAGATGACTTTTGTATTCAACTGGCAGTTGGCTTGAACGGCGATCCCAAGTATATAAGCTTTCGTCACACTGCTGTTATCAGATATGTAGCCATCAAGGGGCACCGCAGTCCATGTTGCAATGCCCCCCATATGTGTACTAGGTGGAATGAGTTTAGAGGCAGTCTGATACTTTTTTCCAGGGAATTCCTCCAATATGGCCAAGTTTGGGTAGCAGAGCGACCCAAGCCCGTCTGCAATAATATCAATCTGGACAAGTGAACAGCTGCTGTAGAAGGATATGTTCGGGAAAGGGACAATTGTCCGCGGTTGGCGAAGTGGTCCAGCGCCGGGCGCACTTGTCAGCCTAGCGTGATTATCAATGGTAAGATTTCCTGCACTTCCAGACAAAATGCATGCTGTCGAGGCTGCAAGGTGGTGAGAAACACGTACCAACATTCCCGCCCAAAGCACACAAACACACATGCACACGCATATGGATACACACACATGCACACGCATATGCATACACACACATGTACCATGCATGTACACGGACACATCCACAAATGTGCCCACTGTCATACGTACACACGTTCACATGCGCGCATGTACACAAACACGCACCCACAAACACACACACATACACATCCTGTCCTGTCCTGTCCTGTAGAGTCACTGCCGCAAAAGGGTCACGTGATCCCATCACTGGGAAACTTGAGAAGAGAGAGAGAGAGGACACGACGCTCGATGACGCTCCAGGTGCACGGGTAGTCGCATCCGCTTGCCGCATATGCACACGTGCTGGAAGGCTGAGCGCTCCTCTGCTGTTGGTCTATGCGCCACCCTTGAACAGCGATGCCTTCCCCGTCCCCGGACACCGCGAAAGCAGCGACCACACCTGTCACAATGTGCGGCACAACATCCCTCCGCCGGTGCCGACGCTCCGGTAGTTCCAGGTGGCACTGCGGCATCCACCGTTGAGGCACACACATGCCGGACCAAGCCACCGCGGCTTCTCAGCCACCGCCCACACCGCCCGCACTGACTGGCGCCCCGCTGCTCAGACACAGGCCGCGCACGCTCCTCCAGACACTTATGCCGAGCCATGTCTCCTTTCCGTGCAAAATCCCGTCCGCATACCGTACATACCACTCGGGGCGGAGGCTCAGGCACATTGTCAGGCTCTTGGTAGGTGCTGCGCCACTCCGCGCGAGACTCACATGCAACATCATACCATGATGCCTCCACGCCACGGGCACGTAGATCCCGGACAGCACAGTCCTTCCATCTGCGGCGTGGGCCATGTGCTGGGCGACGCTGCAAGAAGGAGCCAAACAGTACCTGTTTTGGGATGCGGTTGTCCGGCATCCGCGCCACATGCCCCAACCACTCCAACCGCCGATGTGCAATTTTGTCTTTAATCGTCTCGGAGTCTCCCCAGCGCACCAGCAGCTCTTCGTTGGTGATGTGTTCGTCCCACATCCGGCTTCGAGAGACCCCGAGGATGGATCGGATGCACCTCATGCTGAAGGTTGAGAGCTTCTGCAGGTCATGCTGAAGGGGCGTCCAGCACTCAGAGCCATACAACAGCAGGGACAGAACGCAAGCATTGAATACGCACCGCTTGGTGTGCATCAGCAGATGTGGATTGGAGAATACAGACCTCCGAAGAGCACCGCAGGCCCTGGAGGCTTGGGCAATCCTTGCGGCGATGTCCCGGGACGAACGGCAACCGCTGTCCACTACAGAACCGAGGTATTTGAAATGCGGTACGCATTCCACCTCCGCTTGACCAAGTTGGAGGGGAGCGCGGTCAGTAAGCGTGATGCCGGGGCCAACAACTACAAACTGAGTCTTCGTTGCACTGATGGTCAAGCCGAATCCCGACGCCACCTCGTGAAGACAGCACAATGCTGCCCCCGCTCCAGACCGAGTCGTAGCGAATAAACAAGAGTCGTCAGCAAACTGGGAATCTGTTAGGCAATGGTGTTGGTCGTCACGGCGGGGTTTACGGTATAAATCGCTGCTGTATGCTGAGCGGAGCTCGAAGCCAGCCCCGTCAACTCTCCTGACGCGGTGTTGCCACTGGGTCATCACGGCCCACATAAAGATATTAAAAAGGACCGGCGCCATAGAGCACCCCTGGCGAAGACCATTGCCAATGCTGAACGGGTCTGATAATATGTTGTTGAACTGCACCGATGCTGACATGGGGTCGTGGAACGACTGGATGATGTTGATAAGCTTTTCTGGTACTCCCGCACGGCCGAGGACCTGCCACAGACACCCCCTGGGCACTGAATCATAGGCCTTCTTCAGGTCGATAAACACAAAAAATCCCTTGGCCTGATGTTCGATTGACTTTTCCATGAGCTGTCGGACGGTGAAGATCATGTCAGAGCAGCCACGCCCTCGCCGGAACCCGCACTGGGACTCAGGGAGAAATTCCTCTGCGAATACCTGCAGCCTTCTCTGAAGGACACTCGCCAAGACCTTGCCGACCACATCCAGCAACGCAATGCCCCGCCAATTGTCGCACTGCGACAAATCTCCCTTCTTTGGAATGGGGATGAGGGTAGCATCCGCCCACTCCCGCGGAACGCAGCCATCTCCCCACACATCTCCAAACAGCTCCATGAGCTTGTTGTTGAGCTCCTCGCCACCGAACTTTAGCAACTCTGGCTGTATCCTCGATGAACCAGCAGCGGTGCCATTGCGAAGTCGAGAAATGGCCTTGGAGATCTCATGCATGGTTGGTGGTTCCTCAAGGCTCGACACTACAGGTCGCTGCTCAACGCAAGCCATGATATCGGGGTTGTACGAGCTCTCTGGGTTCAGGACAGATGTGAAATGCCTCTGGAACCGCTTGCATTGATCCTCAGTCGACTGGCACAGGTTTCCATTCTCGTCCTTAATGGCGGAAGTCTTGCACGGAGTTAATCCCTCACATGCAGCGTGGATAGCATGAACGCATTTCCAGACGACTGCCCCGTTGAAGCGCGCCTCTGTTGCCTCCTGTGCCTTATTCAAAATCCAAGCCTCTTTGGCATTTACAACGGCTGCGCGCGCCTGCAATCGAGCAGCCCCGAAGCTGGCCCAATACGTGTCGCCCCTCTGCTGACCGTGGGCAAGCCACTCCGCGTAGCACTCATTGCGGGCGCGCAGAAGGGGCTGTATGGTTGCAGAGTTGTCATCATACCAGTCGGCCTGACGGCGTTCGCTCGGGCCCAATACATCAGCGGCTGTGGCAACCACGGTATTGCGCACATGGGTCCACTTCTCCCCAACGCTACCATCGCTGCTCCAGCAATCTCGCAATCCAGCAGATAAAGCGGCACGATACTTGTCCGCGGTGGTCACACAGCGCGGGGGGGGGGGGGGGCGACGTCCCACATCGTTGACGTCTTGTAACGTGGATGCGCAGGAATCCGATTGATCATGCTCGGCCACCGCCTTACTCCGCAGCTTGCCGACATTAAATCGGCGCCCCCGGCTCGCTCCACGTCGGGCAACCCCCACCGGGCGATGCGGGAACTCAAAGACTATACAAAGCAGCTGGTGGTCACTGCCACACTCAGCACCACGAACAACGCGCACGTCCCTGCAAAATCGCCGATGATCCTGACGCATCAAGATATAGTCGATGCAGTGCCACTGCAGAGAGCCGGGGTGCTGCCACGTCCGCTTGAAGATATCCCGCTTGGGGAACCAGGTGTTGCAGATCCACAAATTATTTATTGCTGCAAACGACAGTAGCTCATCTCCAGAGGAATTCAACTGTCCAAAACCATGCATGCCGCGCACACCACTCCAGCCATCGTCAGCTGTTCCTGAACCCACACGGGCGTTGAAGTCTCCAAGCAGAATACAGCAGTCCCTGTCAGGAACGCCAGCTATTACCTCCTGCAACTGTTCGTAAAACTGATTTTTGCTGGCACGCGGAGCTGCATAAGTCGGAGCATACGCACTGACTACCGTCACCCATGCGACTTCTCCCCCACGCAGGGCGAATTTGAGACGTGCAGTGACAAGACGAGGGCCCACAGCCCGCCAGACCGAACCACCATTCTTCCACGCGTCTGTTGCAAATTTATTGAGTGCCAGGGCGACTCCTTCTCCTCGTCTGTTGCCCGGAGCTCCATCGCCAGGCACGGGGCGACCCGAACACAAGATAGTAAAACCGTCAACGACATAAATGTCATCGCCGAACCAGTGTGTCTCCTGCAATCCAGCCGCCGCCACGCTCAACCTGCGCAGCTCGGCAGCAACACAACGACATTTCTTGTCCTCTGCTACTCGGCCAGAAACGCTCGCCGTAGCTACGCCGCCACTCCTTTCCACAAGGGAGCGAACATTCCACGACCCAAACGTCAAGCAGCGCCGTCCCTCTCTCCCACTCTTCTCTCTCTCCTTGACGTACTTCATAGCTTTTCGGAGCTGGATGGAGATATTCCACTCGGGGGCTCGTCACACCACCGCGAGTGGCGACTTCGGGCGCAGCAAGAGGTGGCGGTATCAAAAAAAACTCGCCTCGTCCTCCTGCTACGTGGCTCCAGTCGTCGGCAGCTCACTGTCTACGTACTGGCCCTGGAGACAACCCTCAAGGGGTCACTCCAGGCCTCTCTTTTGCCCAAAAGTACTCGAAAAACACGAAAAAGTCAGGAGCAGAAAAATTTCAAACTGCCTCCTTGGGCAGCAGCTTACACCCACACATACAGGCACACGCACCAACACACACACACACACAACACATGCATGTACACACATACACATGTACATGTACAAATAAAACCACACATAAACACACCCCAATGCGTCAGGTAAACACTCCAGTTCATGGCGGGTTGCAACTTGACCCGTATCGAACTGGCATTGTATCTCACAACATCATGTTCAGAACAGTGCTCTAACTATTTGAACCACGCACCCACTTGCATATTCGGGTAGAAAATGTAGTGCGTTGAATTCCCTTTGCTCAGTGGTGATTTTGTATTGTATTGTATTTTATTATTTTACTTGGGCATTCCCAACAGATGAATGAATTTGTTAAGTTCCTGGCGAAATAAATTGGGGATGTGATTAGTGCGAAGGCCCCCCCCCCCCCCCCCCCCCCCCGGGAAGCGCATTGAGCGGGCAGCACCAAGGAATGAAATAGATTTGTATCCAGCTTGAGTTTGCCTAATGTGTGAAGAGAGGGAATTATTGACTTGGCCGCGGGTGACTCCGTCTGTGGCATCCGTCCTAGAATCCAACTGCAGTTACCCCTGCCCCCAGTGAAGGTAATAAATACGTGCTACTAGTGTGTGTGACTAAATCAGAGTGGATCTGATATTAGCTTCACTAGCACCATTGATTACACTAGAGTTAATCTAGCCAGAAGCAGTCCATGGTTAACAGGTATGTATACTTCAAATAGAAAGTATATGAACCCTGGATCCAACAACGAAGGTGGCAGGTACAACATTACACCTTCAAGTAGCCGCGACCGTTCGCAACAGACCCAACACAATCAGGCATAAGTGTACCCACCAACCGAACTAGCTGGCACCACATACACACACATACTCACTCACGCACAAACACACACACACACATGCACAAACACACACACACACACACACACACACACACACACACCAATCATCTTACCTGTTGCTCCAGTGTCCCGTAGTATCACTCCGAACACACCTACATGTATGATCAGCACAACGATGGGCGGCACTCCGCACTTCATTTTCTCAACGAGATGGTGTCAGCGCGCCGGGACGCTCCTATCGTTCAAGACTCCCACTACGAGACACGATACAGCATACGCCCTAACTGGAGAAACTCCTCTGACAACTACCAGCACCTTCGTGACCTTCTCCTTTCCAGGAAACGTTCAGTTCCAGATCAATTCATTGAATCAACCTCCAACTGCAGACCGGAGGGAATAATGTTACTGGATGTGCTGACTACTAGTGCAGACGCGTGCAAGTGAGGAGTGTCCCTGCAGTGCCAAGTGTGACCTGGTTTTTGTTCGGCACGCTAGCGAGTAACAGAGTTAGCTACCGGTATATGATTGTTGATTACGGGACTGTGTGAAGACGTCAATCATCAGGATCCTAGCCAATGCTATGTGCCAAACAGGACAGTGATGTCAATGACAGGTGACAAAATTAATGTCGCGTGCTGTGTGCTAAAAAGCAGGGGACTTTTTTTTTCTTTTATCACCCGTGTACTAGTTGTCAGTCATAGCACAGTACTCCGTAGTGTTCGACGCTTCGTTCCTTCTTTGTTGTAGTGATCTTCTGGAGCGCCTCGTTTATTCTATTTCTTGTTGGTAATGGGAGTACCGTAGAATGTCTTTTTTCTCTTATCACCCGTGTACCTGTTGTCCGTGGCGACACAATACTCCCTAGAGCCGTCGACGCCTTACTTAATTCGCTGGGTAAGCTGTGGGAATCCTTAAAAAAAGCGTGTCTAGCGTGAAGAATACCACTGGGTTTGCACCTACTGTGTATGAAAATATCAAAATGCGACGATGGATCAGAAGCAAGGGGTAAATAAAGCATTATTTTAGAGAGAACATACAGTCATGTACATGACGCGTTGTGCATGTGCATTGTGTATGTACATGCACAATGCACATGTCTACGGCCGTTCCTGCTTTGTGTTGTCGGTCACACAGGGTGACCTGGACATGCTCATGGAATTGTTGGTTATCTTCTGTGAAAACACACCTACAATGATTATATACTTGCCAGTACAGTATATACTAGTAGTAAAGTCAAAGGCACGCCCTAGGCACGTGCGACTTGCTGAGTCCGCACAGTCATGTATTATTACATGGCATGGAGTTTGACAGATTGGCAAGGCATGACGATTGTGCTGCCATAGTCCTACAATTATGTACATGTACATGTACTGTAGGTGCTCTCAATGTGTACACTGCGTCTCGACGCCCATTGAGGAACGTGGCAACCTTGCAGCGGGCTTTAGCGCATGCTCGCTCCAACTGCTCCTCAAAATTGCGGATCTCTCCTCTATGATTTAATGATTTATTTATGTATTTATGCACCTCGCAGCATGCCAAGATGGCCAATTGAATTGAGGAGAGGGTGAGACCAACCACGGAAAAAGAGGAAAAAAGAAAATGAAAAACGCGTACACAAAAGGGGAAGGAAGGGATTACCAACATACAAAGCGATGGTCAGACCGAGGTAGACAAGGGATGGTTTTGTATCACCATGGCAACATCTTCATGTTCCTGCTTTGTGTTGTCGGTCACACAGGGTGACCTGGACATGCTCATGGAATTGTTGGATTCGCTCTCAGCAGAGGAGTCACCTACGCGAGTGTCGTTGTTATGGAGACCGAGACTTTGGTAAGGATGAGGGTGTGATTGCGTACTTGCAGACAGTTGTGTGTAATCAGGAGTATGATTAGCAGGGCGCTCGCATACGCGGGGAGCGTGGGTATGGTGGCTTTTGGCCACAGAGGAGGACCTGGGCGTACTCACAGAATTGGTTGTTTCGTTGACGCTAGAGGATTCATCGTTGTCAGTGTTGTTGCTATGGAGATCGAGACTCTGGTACGGGTGAGGATGTGTTTGCGTACTTGCAGACAGTTGCGTGTAATTTGGCAGTTGTGCTTCAGCAGTGACGTCTGCACGTGCCTCCAGATCAACACACAGTGGATCTTGGCTGTGTTGACCACCATTTTCTGCTGCCATGGCGACATCATCATGTTCCTGCTTCGCTTCGTCGGTCGTAAAGGAATACCTGGGCAAGTTCAGAGGTTTGTTTGCTTCGTTAGAAGTTTCAATTTCAATGTATACATGTAAGGAAGTCTGGGAGGGATTGGCTGACGCGACATTGCATGTCCCAGACCGGGCTGTATGCCTAGGCGCCGGGGTCGGTGGCTCCACTGATTCACCCGTTTCTCCAATTTTCCGACCTGGTTGGCACGTTACTGACAGCGGATCACGCTACTTCATTCGATGTAGAAGTGTCAGCAGTACAAACAGGGTCAAGAGAAGTAAGGGCACAACGATGCCCAGGATAATACCAGTTGCTGGCCCTGTTGTGAGAACGACAGTATTCATACCGTTCTCCATGGTCTCTGTAGTACTTGCCACTACTGGACTGGCATCTGTTACACTCCTGTTCGGCGATTTAGATGTGGGCAGCCTGGTGGTATAGGGTAGAGTAGATGTTTCGACGTTAGCTCGTGTAGAGGTAGTCATCGGAATGGAGACTGTAGCAGGTGTAGACGTTGTGGGAAGAGGAGAAGTGGTAGTTAGTGTACGATTAGTTTCTTCAGCGCTGGTCAGCTTCATATCAAGAGTAAGATTGATTGGACTCTGTGACGATGTGAATGCTGGCGAGACTGGAGTAGGGAGAGAGACATGTTACACGCATACATGTTCAAGAGGACGACCACACACGCACACACACACACACACACACACACACAAACACACACACACACACTTGTACTTGTACACACACACACACACACACACACACACACACATGCACACACACACACACATCATGCACACACACACACACACACACGCACACACACACACACACCATGCACGCACTCACACACACATACACACGCACAACGCACACATTAGACAAGCACACACACAACCAGACAGATGGACGGACACACACATAAACACAATCATTTACACACTTTAGCCCTTAGGATGCCCATTGCTAGCTGTAAAGACGAATCCTCACAGCGAATAAAGGATGCACACATGCACCCACCCACATACCCGTGCACGTACTCCTTACAATTCACCCTCTCTCTAAGTCTCACATTGGGTTTTTCCAAGTATTATTTCTCCCCTGCCCACCCCTGTTATTAGTTCACACTTCTCTTGTCTTTCGCACTTCACCTTCTTTTCTCCTATTTTCTTTCACAGACTGCATTTCGTACTCTTCCACGTATAATTATATCGTTGTTTATTGCTAGATTTCATTATCAAGACGTATTTCCCTGATGAACGTCTCTAGAAAACGTGTTAGGAAACTTTGTTATCCAACTTTTATTTTTGTTCATTACTACATCCAATGTCCGCTTCGCTGATCCTGACAATTATTATCACACAAAGGGACGAAGTCAGTTGTGAAACTGATGAGGCATTTCGTACTGCTCAAATCAGTAATGATACGAAAGGCCTGATCAGTGTCAGAACTGGCTTCGTCTCTTCGTGTGATAATAATGATGACGTAACCAATAGACCATTCTGACCGTAGAGACAGAAAGTTTTAGACCTCCTGTTTTGATAGTATAGTATAGTATTTATTCATATTTCTCTAGGGCAGTCCCCACAGACCTATGGTCTCCTTACGGGGTACCCTAGCCAATCTAGGAGTGCGATACGAAATTGACTTGGTGAAGCAGCAAGGCGGACCGATGCCGGAACTGAGTTC